AAATCTTGTACTGATGGAATAACTCCCAACTACCGCCCCTGAATTAGTGAGAGGACATCTGAAGCTTAAATCAGTCCATAAAATGAGGAATGATAAGCTTAAATTTATTAGTTTTATTAAAAATCTTCCACATATATTTGTCAAATTCTATGTGAAAATTGAATATTTACCCAACAAAGTATAGATTATTTTGATTTCATCATACCATATATATGATTGAAATATATGCCTAAATTTACATCATTTAATGATTTGTAGTATAAGATGAGACAAAGTTCAAAACTCAAAATGTTGCAAAAGAAATTGAGTTTAAAATTAATAATTTATTTAAAATATACATTTAATGAGACCCGTCACTTTTATTAATTACTAGTTTTCCACCCGTGCAATGCACGGGCTATGTTATTTTTTAGGTAATATTATCGTGTCTACAAATTTGATTACTTGTTGTGTAAAGGAATGAAGAAAAGTATATATTTATTTTTTTTATAGATGTTGTGTAAAGAAATGGAGAAAAGTAGGAAAAATAGTATAACAATTTATAACTCATATAAATTATAAAGTGATAATAATTTTATTAGGAATTTTTACGTCCAAAAAGAAAATTAATTGACGTCATACACATAATTTTTTTTTTTTTTTTAAAGAAGATGATGTAAATTATATTGAGAAAATTACCACGACAAAATAATAAACATTAATAAAATAATTAATTTTTTTTAAGAAAAAAAGATGAGTTATACGTATTTTTTAACACACATTTGATGTACGTTTAACTATTTTCGATATTCATTTAAATCATTCGACGTGTCTATAATATAATTTTCGAAATGAGTTTCAAGAGAACATAGAAAATTTATGGTAGATTTTTATAAAAAAAAAACTAAATAAATCATCCATTGAAAAAAATTGACAAAAAAAAAATATCAATCACCCAATAAAAAAAAATGCTCCGTGACACGGAGCAATTTGCCCCTGGAGGGGGTGCCAGGAGCAAATTTGCTCCCTGTGAGCACATAGGTATCGCAATAATTTTTTTTTTCATTTGATATATTTTTTTTATACGAATCTATTTCGTAATAAGCTTTTAAATTATTTTTAATGTCAAAAGAGATATCATTTAAAAAATTAAGAATTTTGTTAACAAATTAACTTTAAAAGTTTATTGACTATTGTATGGTAGTCGAATGCATAAATTTTATATATTCTCTCGAAATTCATTTTAAGAACTATATTATAGACATATCGAATGATCTAAATAAATATCGAAAATAGTGAAACATACATCAAACGTATGTATTAAAAAATGCGTATAACTCGTCTTTTTTCTTAAAAAATCAAATATTTTATTAATGATTATTATTTTTTAGCGATTTACATATTTGCAATTTATTTGTAGTTTAATCTTATGATTAGTAGATTTTTCAGTTTATTTTGTTATATGTGTTTCATATAATTTTACAGTTAATTATATGTATGTCAGAAAAAAATTTGAAGAAAATTAATTAATTTGATAACATTCGATTTGGTAGTTATCGAACCGATCTTTATTTAATTAATATATGCAAATATGATATTTCTATATTTTGGTGTATGTAAGTGCATATTTGGTATGTTAGTTGCATATATGGTATCTAGCAAATATGTGTAAAATCACTCACTACATATGAAATGGGTAAAAAACAGTTTGTGCAAATTCTGTGCAAATACGGTGACCGTTCTATATATATGATAAGCTGCAAATTCGGTAAGGTACAAATATGGTAAGTTGCATGCAAATACGGTAGGCCGTAAATACAGTAAACTGTAAATACGATAAGTTGCATATACGGTATATTGTATATACGATATGCTTAAAACCAGTATCTAAACTACATATACGGTATGCGATAATTCGGTTTCATGAACACCAAAATATTCCAACAATAAGTAGCTTTTGCAATTAAAATAGAATGAGTGATTAATATTTTTTTATCTATGAGTAACTTTTACAATTATAAGTTTTTCATTACTTTTAAATAACTTGAAGTGTTTTTTTACTTATAAGTAACTTTTTACATTCTAGATAGTGTAATCTTTTTATTAATATTTAATTTAAACTCTAAATATTTACTTTAAAATGTTGAAGTTAATATTTTTTTTATCTATAAGTAGTTTTTACAAGTATAAGATTTTTTATTGCTTTTCAATAACTTAAAGTGAATTTTTTACTTATAAGTAACTTTTTACATTTTAGAAATAAAAAATAACTTTTATATAAAAAATTATTTAAAAAATATTATTACTAATGAAATTATAGGATATGGTAGTTGATAGCGTGAGAAAATGGAGAAAAAGTACTGTGTGTCAAATTCAGAGCATGTAAGATGTAGGTAAAATAGAAAATGACGTTATTTCTGGAGACCAATTTAAATAAAATAAAAAAAGTACAGTATGACAAAATATTATTTAAAAATATATTACTACTAATAAAATAATCAAGGAATATGAAAAAAAATATTTTATATTCAAAAGTCAAAATCAGTTTAAGAACAGTTAACTCAACCAAGTGTGAAAATGAGGATTACAAAAATGAATAGTAAATTCCAAAATGACTCTTATAAGAGAAGCTAGGATTTAAGCACATCTTTCATCATTTTTTTATTAAAGTCTGCTAATACCAAATCTTTCTCAAACAGCCGTAAATATTATGTATGATGACAAAGTTGATTAGAACAAATCTTTGGAGAGACAACCATGCAGCAAAAGATCTGATACTTTAGCTCAAAAGAACAATATTTATGTAAAATAAATTATACAAAAAATCCAGCCTCAAAGTTGTAGTTGGATTCCAACTATACCAAGATTCTGCAATCCAACTACCTATAAAATATGAAATCATAAAAATGAAAGAGAAAATGCTTCTAGAAAACCAAGATCCCCTTTCGACTAAAAATCAAATTTTTTAGCAATTTTTTTATAAAAATTAACAAAAAAATCCATCCTTCGTAACTTGTTGAGATTTTCACTCATATCAACACAAGCTTTATCAAATCTTCGTAGGGATGTCAACGAGTAGAGTTAAGCCGGCTCGCGAGTCGAAAGTCTATGCTCGGGCTCAGCTCGGGTAAAATGAGCGAGTTTTTTCCGGGCTCGATCCAGATCTTGGCCAAAAAATTTAGGCTCAACTCGAGCTTTCGACTCGAGCTTTTTCAAGCCGAGCAGGGCATGCTCGATTTTTTTTCCCCTTTAAAGTTAAGGCACGAGGCTGCTACCTTATTTCAAGCGCGTTGTTGTCTTTAAAATGATGTTTTTTTTTTTTTAAATATAGGCTCGTGGCTCGGGCTTTTTCTTGGCCAAGTCACGGACGACTAGACCATCCCCAGATCTTCGTGAAACATATCTCATCTAGAGTAATTTTTGATAAAATTATGTTTAGTTCAAGTGTATAATATATTCGATACCAAAGGAGATTATTTTTTATTAAATTAAATACATTAATATCTACCTTATTATAAATAAAATCTAACTTTTACCATTTATTTCCAAAGAAATATGAAAAAGATAATAAAAAAAACTCCATTAAACCTCATTTCTTTCTACGAGAATGTCTTTAAGAAAAAAATAGATTGTAATGCTATTAATCAACACTACTGATGAACAACCATATATGTGGTAGTGAATCATTGTCACATTGTTTTATGTAATTTATATTTATTAAACAATGCAATTACAATTCCACTATCGTATATACGATTGTTGGTGAATAATATTATTCAACTATTATGATGCATTTTATACATTTCTGCTTCGATCACCGAAGCATTATGGTGAAGTTCATCTCGTTAGTACCACCTGTCCTCTTAAGGACATTAGAGCACGATTAATCAAATATTTAAAAGCATTAATGCCAACAAATTGTATTTAATTAAAAAATATATCATGGCCAATAATCATTGTATCTATAGATATTCAAGATGTAAGCAAATCCCAACACTTGGTGAAGGCCTATTGGCCATCTAGTTGTTTTCAAGTTCAAGAATTAAGCACCCACATATTCTTTAACTCGTAATAATTAGTATCTAATTAGTATCTTGATTATAGTACAACAATCATTTGTGACTAGTCACATTGGGTAGGACCCATACTTTAAAAACCAACTTGTAAGAGGTACACAAAAAGCTATGACACCTTTAATCTAGCAATATATGGTGCAATAAGCATCATTAAAATTCACTCCTTCTAGTATCGTCCACTTTTCTTTTAGGTTGTGAAATATCAATTATCAATAAGGGGGTTGACGATGAACAGCTCAAAGGACAACAAATGAGAAAAAATATAGCTAATATGTGAAAAATAACGAGCAGTAGTCTTCGAAAGTATTTTTATGAATAGGCAATCCATGGAATCGCATAACACTATCAAAATAAAAGATGTGAATATTATAACTATAAGCTTATGAAAGGATCCTTTCTTTCTAATCCCTATGATGCAATTGGAGGTTATCGATAGAAAACAAATCAAATTTCATCCTTCGACGACGACATTCTCAACCACCCATATTCCCAGCTAGATGACTCTAGAACTCTCCCTCACAATAGGCTCGTAAAGTTTATAAGCCTACAGTTCAACCATAGTCATTTCATATCTTCACCTTCATAGCACATCTCTTCATTAAAACGGATTAATATGCCTATAACTTTTGTCTAATCTACGAATAGTTCACACAGTTATAAAACACACATCATTGTCATGTTATATGATAACGATCTAATAAAATCACAATTAGAATACAAAAATCCAATTAATAATCTAATAAAATCCCACTTTGAATACAATAATCCAATTGATGCTGATAAGTACAATAAATTCATATATTAATCAAGATATGAATAAGGGTACTTTAGTACCTTCAACAACTCAAAAGGTTAAGCATGGATAATCTTTAGCTTATGTGAAGGAGCACATTAACAATTTGACAAAGACATCAATTGACGGATGGAATGGTACAAGACCAGAGTACCAAGTATAAATATGGAACTTACACTAATACTTCATCTCAGGGAATATTAAGAATAAATCCCACATAGAACTGAACAAAAACACAGTTTTTCTCTCAAGCTTATGGAAGTGATGGTACAAAATATGGGATGGGGAGTCAAAGAAGGAGGGTGGAGAAAGGGGCCTTGGACTGCAGAAGAAGACAAGTCGCTCATCCGGTATGTCAAATTGCACGGTGAAGGAAAATGGAACAATGTAGCTAGGCTTGCAGGTACTCAACTCACTAAAAACTTCCATCCCGGTGTGTTTTATTTCGTCCTATGTACATATTTTTGGCTCAATTCATTTTGCACCATGCACCATTTTCGCAATGTTTATTATGCTGGACTGGATAGTACTTGATAGGTTGCATCTTGTGGAATATATATAACTATAGCCATAGATGGTGTTTGTGTTTTATTTGCTTATTGGTTTTCACAGGATTGAAAAGGAATGGGAAAAGCTGTAGATTGAGATGGGTAAACTACCTTAGGCCAGACCTGAAGAGGGGACAGATAACCCCACATGAAGAGTGTATAATTCTTGAGCTACATGGTAGATGGGGTAACAGGTACATATTTGTAACATAAATATATCTATGTGATTCTAGGATTTAAGACAGTATTCTCAAAAACCTTTTTCTTCTTTAATACTGTCTAAGACTGTACAATCTAGCTTATCGAACGAGCTCATGATATTTTAGTATAGAACTTGACCGCTTCCACCAATTTTGAGAACAGGTGGTCAGCAATTGCTAGAAGTCTACCAGGAAGAACTGACAATGAAATCAAGAATTACTGGAGGACTCATTTCAAGAAAAATGCAAAAGTTTCTTCAGAAAATCCTGAAAAATTGCGAGCCCACCTTCTGAGAAGGGAGCGGCTTCAATTACAACAGAAACAAAAACAAGAAGAAGATCAAATCAACATGAAGAAAGTCGTATCATTTCTTGATGAGAGTGAAACTAAAGTGCCAACTCTAGCTCAAATGAAGCAAGAAATCCTATATCAGCACGAGTCTGATGAGCTTGGCTTTCTATATTCTATGATCAATGGCTACCCAACCGGATCTGAGGCCTCAAATGAGGATATTTTATGGGATGGTCTGTGGAATTTGGATGATTTTCATGGAAAGATAGCTAACCAGCATACTTTGGTTGCAAATTTCCATTGAATTCTTACTGACACCAGTTTGAATAATCTTTCAGTCTTCTGCTC